CAAGATCTTTCCTCTTTCAATTTGGATGAGGGTGTTGACAAGCTGATTTCTGATGTTGCCGAGAAAGACCGTCAAAAGGGCAGTTCTTGGAGAATTTCAGCAGCCAGATTCTATGACAGAGAGAGAAACAATCATGACCAGTCGCAAGAAACAGAGACAACAGGAAAGGGTGGCGGCGCATAGGGGAATTTCCCGGGATGACCAGACCGGGGGAGAAGAGTTTTTTGGAAAGGAAAAGTCTGACCCAGTCTCGTCAGAACAGCTATCTACGGGCTTGGGAAACCTTCAGCATTTTGGGTGAGGGAACACAAGTTGCTCGTGATGACTGTGAATCAGTTGGATCAAGTGATGTGCGTTTATATCAACCAGATGTTTTTCGAAGGCTTGGACATTTCAGAAGCCCAGACCTTAGTGGCCGCCACCAAATTTCACCTGGACGATGTGGTGAAAGCAACGCAACTGTCCAGGTGTGCGCAGGCTCTTCGCGGGTTCACCAAATTGGAACCGCCTCAGGGTCGCCTTCCCATGCCATATTACTGTGCATGATCGTTCAGGAACTCTGGGAAAGGCATCGGGAGGTGAGCCTGTGGCTGCTTCTTGTTTGGGGAACTTGCGCCAGACCGGGAGAAGCCTTTCGGGTGTTGGTTCAGGATATTGTGCCACCAACAAAGTTGTGCAGTCATGACATTGTCGTTCTCAACTCCGGCAGGGGGTTGGCGAGGAACAATTCCAGTCCAAGCAATCCCAGACAGACTTCAAAGGTGGGGGAATCCGACGAAGCAGTGATGATAGATCAACCCTATCTAGGAAGCCTTGGAAAGTTTTTGCTGGAACTAGGAAAGAACCGAAGTCCAATCGAACCCTTTTTCAACTTCAACATGAAGCAGGGAACCGAACTTTTCGAAAAGATCATTGCCAAACATCAGCTAGTGAACCATGGTCTGAATTGCACCTATCAACCCCGACATGGATCAACCTCAACAGATGTTCTGACTCAGCACCGGAGTTTGGTGGAGGTGCAGAAACGAGGCCGGTGGGAGACAACAAAAAGTGTTCGTCGTTACTCCAACGGCGGCCGAATCAGCCAAGTGTTCAACGGTCTTCCGGAAGAAACAAAGAACTTAGCTTAGGAAGCCGAGAAGTGGATGGCAAAGACTTTAAAAGTTGGAACCGTGTTCCGAAGCATGAGCAGCAACCCATAGCGATTGAGATTTTTTCCGGTTCTGGTCACCTTTCTAGAGCCCTTCGCAGACACTGTCGTCAGTTGACAGTCTTTGAAGTTGACCTGAAACATGGGCCAGTTTTTGATCTCACACATCGCAAAAACCAACGGCAGTTGATACAATTTATTTTGCGTAGCAGAGTTGCTTTCATTTGGCCGGGTACCCCTTGCAATAGTTGGAGCAGAGCACGTAGGAACGATCGTCGTGGTCCTGGTCCCTTGCGGGATGATGAAAACTATATCCTAGGTCTGCCTCAATTAACTACTGGTGATTATAATACGGTTCGTGCTGGCAATTGTTTGATGCGATTCAGTGCAAAAATTTTTCGGATGTGTGTACAACTTGGTATTCCAGTGGCTTTGGAAAACTCTCACACTTCTCGTATTTGGCTGGCTCCTCCTATCAAGCATTTGCTTTCTCATCGACATGTCCTTCATGATTTCACTGATTTTTGCCAAGAGGGAACTGCATGGCGCAAAAGAACACGAATCATGTTTGCCCACATCGACCTGAGGTCATGTTTTCATCAATGCCGTGGACCGCGTGGCATCTGTTCACGAACTCAAGCTGCACACGTGACCTTGGAAGGGATGGATCCTCGACGGGGCAGTTCATGACCCTCGTTGCTCAGCCTTACCCCATGAAGCTGTGCAATCGAGTTGCTAAAGCTGTTAATCATTCTGTTGTTTCAAAACTAGGGGCTGCACTGTGGAAGTTTTTTCAGGGCCTTCAGCCAGCAACAAATTTGGTGCAGTAGATGCCTGCAACAATTTAAACTTTGGCTGTGGTGCTGTTTTCAAAGCACAGCAATGCAGCTTCGAAGCAGGCATGCTATTGAACAGATCGGTGGCTGGCCCTGGAAGGAAAACTTGCGGATCATTTGACTGATTTCAGGTGTTTGAGTAGCGGTGAACTGTTGGGGCCGGAGGAATCGCTGCTCAAGTCTCCCAGCCCTGCAGGATCCGCTTGGATCATGTTCATGAGAGATGTTAGGAGGTCAGGGCGCTGATTTCCTGAGAGGGGTTGCATTTTGGAGCATCAGATCTGTAGGTTTGCTAAGATGATTTTGCGTGACAGGTGCAGCACTTCGTATGACCTGGCATCAATTTTTCGCGGCAGGCGCAGTACTTTAGACAGGTGGAGTGCAAAAATCGCAAAACGCATTGGCACGAGGCCGTCAGCTCTGCACTCAACTTTCCATGTTTGAAGGAAGTCGCGCAGACTTGCTTCGTTTTTTGATGTTGTCAACTTTGAAAATTGAGGAAGTCTCGCAGACT